CAAACTGTGCACAAAATTTTTTATTTTTCAGATGGTTCAGCTGCACAATATAAGAACAAAAAAAATTTCATCAATTTAGCCCATCATGTTGATGATTTTTCTTGTGAAGCAGAATGGCACTTTTTTGCCACATCACATGGCAAAGGACCATGTGACGGCATTGGCGGTACAGTCAAAAGATTAGCGGGTTTAGCAAGTTTACAACGCCCATTTAATAATCAAATTACTACTCCTTATGATTTATACGAATGGGCTAAATCAAATTTGACAAATATTCATGTAGAATATTGCAATCACGAAGAATATCAAGCTGAAGAAAAATTGTTACTCAAAAGATTTAATCAGGCTGTAACTATTCAAGGAACACAAAAATTACATTCTTTTGTACCCTGTGAAAACAAAACCGAAATTCAGACAAAAATATACTCCAATTCATCGAGCAGTTCAACGAAAAAAATAGCACGATAAAAGCTTATGGATAATACAATTAAATTCTCGGAAAAGAGTTACAATTAATTAATTACGTATATGGATCAATTAGTCAATATCAATCAGTCCTTTTCAGGACTTTAATTTCGCTAAATAAAATTAAAATTCAGTTCAATCAGTCCTTTTCAGGACTTTAATTTCGCTAAATAGAATTAAAATCAACTTCAATCAGTCCTTTTCAGGACTTTCTTTATAAATAGAATTAAAATTCGCTACAATCAGTCCTTTTTAGGACTTTTTTATTTCGCTAAATAGAATTAAAATCTACTTTAATCAGTCCTTTTCAGGACTTCAATTTCACAAAATTGCTTCAAATGAGTGCTTAAAAAAGTTTGAGTTTAATTTTCCCATTGTACCTAAGGCTTGTGATATTAACCAATTTTAATGAATTTTGCATAATAAACAACTAATCCCGTAGTATTAATTATATTGAATAATGATAAGTTATCATAAATTTTAGCGTTAGGACTCATAAGGAATTTACGGGCGTGTCTACTGCGCAAGTCACGTTGCGCGCAACGGCTCGTAGCAGTCTGCATGGCTCCACTAAATATTTTTTTTCTCGAAAACTATTATAGATACCATCTTTGTTAAGGTCTTAAATTTTTCAGGACATTATAAAGAATGTTCATGAATTTTTTGAAATAAATCGAAGATATACTTTTCGAATTATTTAAAAAATAAACAATTTTTTGTTAATAACAATTAAAATTTTTTTGGTTTTTTTAGGTTAATATTTTTTTTATAAAAATGCTTGTGAATACGAGTAATTTAATACAAAACCCAACTCAATTGCTTTAAAATAACGGAAGTTATGATTAATCAAAAAAAATTATGCTAAAATTTTCAAAATTGAATAATTTGGAAAATATTTCAAATTTTTCAAAAATATTTGGTATTTCTTTTTTTAACCCTTTAACTAACTCAAATTATCAATTTTATCAAATTTGCTCAAATAATCATAAAATGTTGTGATCAGTTGACGTGGACTCGCTCAATATTCACAATAAAAATAATCAATATTCACAATAAAAATAATCTAATCGACATTATTTACAACAAAAATCATCTAATCGACAATATTCATAATAAAAATAATCTAATCGACATTATTTACAACACAAATCATCTAATCGACAATATTCATAATAAAAATAATCTAATCGACATTATTCACAAGAAAAATCATCTAATCGACATATAATCCATAAAAGTTACTCAACAACAAGCCATTGTCAGTAACGGAAAATACACCAACAACATTATCCGTACCAAAAAGTCATTATTCCTAACAAAAATCACCTAATTGACATTAATCCATATCAAGAATCATCTAATTTTTATCTTCTAATTAATATTGTCCGGAAAAATAATAATGATCTAAAATCAACAAAATTCGTAAAAAAAAATTATGGGTTATTATTAACAACTGGTCGTATAAACATTTTTGACCGAAATGTAATTAAATAATAATCCTAATGCAAAAATCTACTTAACAAACAATAAGCTGTAAATTAAAATCACTCATACAAATAATACGCACTAAATAAAAATCACCTATAGTAATAATAAGCCCTAAATAAAAATTCCCCAAACGAATAATAAGCATCTAAAAATCACCCAGACGAATTTAAATAAAATTTACCCAGACTAATAATAAGCTTTTAATAAAAGTCACCCAAACTACTAAAAGGCCCTAAACAAAAATTACCCAGACGAAGATTGAGCCCTAAATAGAAATCACCCAGACGAATAATAACGTTTTAATAAAAATCACCCAGACGAATTAAAATAATATTTACACAAACTAATAAAAGGTGGTAAATAAAAATCACCCAGACAAATTTAAATAAAATTCACTCAAACTAATAATGGGCCCCAAATAAAATCACCCAAACGAATAATATGCTTTTAATAAAAATCACCCAGAAGACTTTGAATAAAGTTCACCCAAAGTAAATAAATTTTAATAAAAGACACCTAGACGACTAATAAGCTTTAACTAAAAGTCACTCAAACTAATAAAAAAACACTAAATTAAATCACTCATAGAAGAATTTAAATGAAAATCACTCAAACTAAATAAAAATCACCCAGACGAATAATAAGCTTTAAACAAAATTCACCTAAATTAAAAATAGGCCCTATATAAAATCACCCAGACAAATAATTAGGCTTAAGTAAATTTCACCCAGACGAGAAATAATACCTAAATAATAGTCACCCAAACAAGTAATAACCCAAAAATAAAAATCACCCAGACGAAATTAAAAAAAAAATTTAGCGGAACGAATAATAAACACTAAATATCTAAATAAAAATCACCCATATGATTTTAAAATTCTAAAATAAGTCACCCAAACTAGTAATAGGTCCTAAATAAAAAGCACCCAGTCAAATAATGAATTTAAAATTAAAGTCACTCATACTAATATTAGACCCTTATTAAAAACCATCCAGACGATTAAAAAGCCCTAAATAAAAGTCACCCAAAGAAAAAAATAACCCCAATATAGTAATTACCCAAGCTAATTAAAATTCTTCAAACAAAAATTTTCTAAAATAATAAAATAGGTGGTAAATAAAATCACCCAAACGAATAATAAGCTTTTAACAAAAGTCACCCAAACTAATAATATTGCTTTAAGCGAAATTTTAGCTGAACTAATAATACAATTTAGGCAAAAACCACCGAGAAGTAGCAATACGTCCAATATATAATCACCCAAACGAATAATAAACCTTTAAATAAATGTCACCCAGACAAATAATAAACCTTAAATAAATGTCACCCAGACGAATAATGAGTTTTTAATAAATGTCACCCAAACTATATTAGGCCCTAAATTAAAATCACCCAGACGAATAAAAAGCCTTAAATAAATGTCACCCAGGCGAATAGTAAACCCCAACAAAAATCACTCAGACAAATCATAAGATTTAAATGAATGTTACCCAAACTAATATTACGCTCTAAATTAAAATCACCCAGATGAATAATAAGTCTCAAATAAAAGTCACCCAAAGTAATATTAGGCCATAAATTATAATAACCCAGACGAAAAATAAGCAATAAATAATTGTCACCAGGCGAATAATAAACTTAACTAAAAAATCACTCAGACGAATAATGAGTCTTAAATAAATGTCACCCAGGCGAATAATAAACCCTACCTAAAATGCACCCAGACGAATAATAATATTTTAAAAAAGTCACCCAGACGAATAATAAACCCCAACTAAAAATCACCCAGACGAATCATAAGATTTAAATAAATGCCACCCAACCTAATATTAAGCCTTAAATTAAAATTACCCAGGCGAATAATAAGCCTTAAATAAATGTCACCCAAGTGAATAATAAACCTTAACTTAAAATCACCCAGATGAAAAATAAGCAATAAATAATTGTCACCCAGGCGAATAATAAACCTTAACTAAAAATCACCCAGACGAATAATGAGTCTTAAATAAATGTCACCCAAACTACTAATAGGCCCTTAACAAAATCAACCAGACGAAGATTGCGCCCTAAATAAAAATCACACAGACGAATAAAAAGCCTTAAATAAATGTCACCCAGGCGAACAATAAACCCTAACTAAAAATCTCCCAAACTAATATTAGGCCCTAAATTAAAATCACCCAGAAGAATAATATGCCTTGAATAAATGTCACCCAGACGAATAAAAAGTCTTAAATAAATTTCACCCAGGCGAATAATGAACTTGAATTAAAAATCACCTAAACTAATTTTAGGCTCTAAATTAAAATCACCTAGACGAATAAAAAGCCTTAAATAAATGTCACCCAGGCGATTATTAAATCCTAACAAAAAATCACCCAGACGAATGATAAGCTTCAAATAAATGTCACCCAAACTAATATTAGGCCCTAAATTAAATTCACCCAGACGAATAATAAGCCCTAAATAAATGTCACCCAGGCGATTAATAAACCCTAACTAAACAAACACCCAGACGAATAATGAGTCTTAAATAAATGTCATACAGACGAATAATAAATCCTAAACTAAAATCACCCAAACTTATGATAATCCCTGTAATACAAAACTTTTCCCACTAATCGTATAATCTTCAACGAAAAATCATATCCATTTACCAATAAAAATGATTCAAGAAACCTTATATTATTCTTCAAATAATCCAAAATGCAAACACGATCACTTAAAACACTTCTTGTAAACAATAATAATTCTTCTTAATGATACACAAACAATTTTAATATCAATCCATCACAATAAAAACTTCATCAAAAATCATCACTTAAAAAAGTAAAAACAAAAAAAGGAAAAACGTTACGAACAAAACAAAAATTAAATCTCTTCCTCGATATTTTCAAGGAAGAGATTTAATTTTTTTTTTGAACACTTTGTTTCATTTTTAACAGAAAACGTATTTTTTAAGTATAAATAAAATTTTTACTAGGCATGACAAAAAAAAACGAGAGAGAGAGAGAGATAAGTAATTATTTTAATATTCTCTTCGTACCTATTCATAAAAATAATGAGGATTCTCATACACAGAAAAAAATCACTTTTATAGGAAGAATTTTTTACATTTTTGCTTTTTCTTGACTAAACCTAGGGGCGGGGTAAAAGGGTTAATTTAGTATATATAACACCGGGCCCCCGAGGCCCGGTGCCCTGTTAATTCTAACAAATGGAACTTGTCACTTTTTCATTAATTTTTTTTTCTCCTTATTTTCTTCATTTAGAGAAGACAAAAAAAAATTAAAATTCTTGTTTTAAAATAATATTTTGAAAATCGCGACACAGACACAAACACGTGAAACTGTTTTTTTTCCCCTGATAAATATTTTACGCACACACACGTTTTAGTGTCTTTTTTCTTTCTTGTTTTTCGCTTTTTTTTTTTTTTTTATTAATTGAAAGGGGGGGAGGAGAGTAAAATGGGGGGAGTGCGCCGTTGACCAGCGACGTGACACTCGCCGACCGGCAGCTGTGCACGCACTGAACTGATACTGTGTGTGCCACACGAATCGAGACGTTGAGCGAACCAAGCTCCTCGGTCGACGCTCGCGGGTCCTTTTACCTCGGCACGACTCGGTTACACCCGCGATGCCTCGCTCACATTCGTTCCTTTTGGCAGCAAGAGAAAAAACCTTCAATCACTCTATACATATATATTTTTTCGTTGTAGTAGTAGTACAAAGATAAAGGGTGTTGGAAAAAATTTTTTTTTTTTGCAATAAAAAGGGAAATAAATCGAAAAAAATATTATTACTGTTGAAAACAGTGTGAAAATAGCTTTAAAATTGGGTAATTTGTCAAATAAGGGGAAAAATTCGAAATAAAGGTAAAAAAAAGAATAAAAGAAGATTGCATTAGAAAAAATGTTAATAAGTAGAAAAAAATACGATTACTGTTAAAAACAGTGTGAAAATACCTTTAAAATTGGGTACTTTATCAAATAAGAGGAGAAATTCAAAACAAAGGTAAAAAGTATCGAAAAGAAAATTTACATTAAAAAAATGAGAATAAATTGAAAAAAGTGTAAATACTGTCGAAAACAATGTGAAAACACCCTTAAATTGGGGTAATATGTCATATTAGGTCACATTAGGTCAAGAATTCGAAAATAAGGTACAGGTGATAGCAACAATATTTTTTCATTACAAAGAAAATAAATAAATAGAAACTAATAGTTAATACTCTCATAAACAATATGAAAACACCCTTAACTAGGGGTAATATGTGACATTAAGTCAAGAATACGAATTAACATTAAAGATTATCGTAAAAAAGAGTTACATCTGAAAGAATGTAATTAAATATTTAATTACAATCTATATAGGAAAAAAAAGTAAATATTCTCGAAAATAATGTGACAACACCCTTAACTTGGGGTAATATGTCACATTAGGTCACATTGAAGTCCAGATTTCAAAACGAAGGTACAGGGGATTGCAAAAAAATTTTTGCATTTCTTAATATTATGTTAATAAATAGAAAAAAAGTAAATATTTTCAAAAACAGTGTGAAAACACCCTTAACTTGGGGTAATATGTCAAATTAAGTCAAGAATACGAATTAAAAATAAATGTAATTTTTAAAAAAAATTACATTTTAAAGAATGTAAATAAATAGAAAATAAAAAGTAAATATTCTCGAAAACAATGTGAAAACACCCTTAACTTGGGGTAATATGTCATATTAGGTCACAATAGACTCAAAAAGAAGGGGTGTTGTAAAAAAAATTTTTTGGCAATAAAAATAGAAATAAAACGGGAATAATATGATTACTGTTGAAAACAGTGTGAAAACAGCTTTAAAATTGGGTAATTTGTCAAATAAGAGGAGAAATTCAAAACAAAGGTAAAAAAAGAATCGAAAAACAGTTTATATTTAAAAAAATGTGAATAAATAGAAAAAACAGTAAATACTGCCGAAAACAATGTGAAAACACCCTTAACTTGGGGTAATATGGCATATTAGGTCAAATTGAGTTACGAATTGAAATTAAAGGTAAAGGTAATAGCAAAAAAAATTTATATTCCAAAAGATGTAAATAAATAGAAAAAAATAGTAAATGCTCTCGTAAACAATATGAAAACACCCTTAACTATGGGTAATATGTCAAATTAAGTCAAGAATACGAATTAAAGTTAAAGGTTATTGTAAAAAAATGTTACATTACAAAGAATGTATTTAAATAGAAAGTTAAAAGTAAATATTCTCAAAAACAGTGTGAAAACACCCTTAACTTGGGGTAATATGTCACATTAAGTCAATAATTTGAATTAAAGGTAAAGGTAATCGCAAATAACATTTATATTCCAAAAAATGTAAATAAATAGAAAAAAATTATAATTATTTTCAAAAACCATGTGACACACCCTTAAGTAGGGGTAATATGTCATATTAGGTCAAAAATTCGAAAAAAATTACTTTCAAGTAACTTTTAGTTTTATTGTCGGACCTAAGAGTCATAATGAGTTAAGCTTTATGACAATTGACTTGTAAAAAATATGACCAAAGACTAAAAAAAGACAAAAATGACCTAAAAATAATAAGAACTTATGAGAAAATACCAAAAAAAACAATAACAATAATAGAAATAATAAAATTGCATGATGAATGTAAACTTGACCTATCTACTTATTTTAGCTTTTTGACAGAGGAACTTTGACCTAAAAATGTAAAAAGACCTTAAAAAATGATAAAATAATAAAATGACCTATAAAAACTTATGAACCGGATTGAAACGTTAGACACTCTTTATTTTGACCTTTATAATTATTTGCATCCGTTTACCTGGGAAGTTTGACCTAAAAAATTATAAAATGACCTAAAAAATAAAAACAAACCTTCAGTTTAATCAAAAATTGAAAAAATTGTGTTTTGTACTGAAAGTTTCGACCATTTTATTCTAACCTTTAATCATACTTCTACCGGTTGACCTATGGAATTTTTACCTAAAAAATAAGAAAATGACCTAAAATCAAAAGAATATTAAAATATTAACTTCAAAGAATATTAAATTATATATTTTTTATTTTCAAACATTAGACACTATCTCGGACGTTATTTTATTTTCAGCTTTAATCTTATTTTTTCCACTTGACCTAAAAATTTCGACCTAATAATTGAAATTACATTTACGCTATGAATTAAAAGGAATTTTTTGAAGTTATTTACAGTTCTTTTTTAATGAGTTAAGGACCTATATTTTATTGCACTTTAACCTGAATTTTCACGTTATATTCTTTTACATAACTTTTTGACTTGAAATTAGCAATTTTGACCTAAATTTCAAATTTACATTCGGTATTTATCTTAAATTTGCAGTAAATCTTGTTTTTGTAAATTTTCATTTTGACCTAAATTAAGAAAATGTTTTATTATTTGTTTAAAATTCAATATTTTGTCCCTATATGTGTCATTTTGACCTAAATTTAAATACTAAGTTTGCTACTTGTCTAAAAATGTTGGTTTTATTTTTTAATAATAAATTTTGACCTATATTAAGGTTATATTTGATAATTTATTCGAATTTTAATTATTTATCTTTTTATCAAATAAAAACAAATTAGGTCAAAATGATAAATTTTATCATTTTGACCTAAATTTGTTGACTACGTTCGTTATAGTTTACTTGGAAATTTGAAAGTTTTTTTTAATCTTTTTTATTTATAATTTTGACCTAAATTCTATGGTCATGTTAAGTAGTTAAAAATAAAAAATTAACAGTATTTTATATTTTGACCTAAATATGACCTAAATTTTAAGACTATTTTCGCTACCTCACTTAAAAATTGAGATACTTTCCTGAAATATTAATTTTCGATCTTTTTCACGGTAAATCTGTTTTTTAAATTTTGCTATAACCATTTGACCTACATTGACCTAAATTGAAAACTTTTTTTGTCCTTTAATTATTAAGTATTAATTTATTCAAAGAAAAAACAAAAAAAATCTGTGGTGAACAAAGGAAACACGTGACAAATAGCCATAGGTCAATTACAAGAAAACAATAATTTTAGGTCAACAAATTTTCTTAATTTTATCAACAAAAAAAATGAAATATGTAAATGAATAACAAAATGTCAAATTTTAGGTAAAAAAATTTTGTTAATAGCACAAGAAATGAATTAAAATTCAAAATTCAAAATTTTAGGTCAAAAAATCTCGCTAATAACACAAAAAAATGAATTTAATTTTGAAATGAATTAGAATTTTAGGTTAATTTGAAAATATCCGTAATTCAAAAGAGCGACAAAATTGTGAAAATTTTCAAAAAAAAGATAAATTTAGGTCAATCACAAAATGTAAATTTTTTGATTGACCTAAAAATTTTCTTTTTTTGAAAATTTAGGTTCATTTAGAAATAACAATGAAATAAAATCCAAAAATGAATTATTCAATAGAATATAAAGAAAGAGAACTTACAAAATTAAATCAAAAGAAATAAATTTGACAATAAAATTTCAAAAAAATAAAATTAAAAAAATACTGATTGAAATTGAAAAGAAGAAATTTCGTTTTGCAAATAACTGATAATTTGGTGAAAATAAGCAAATACTGTAGGTGGAGATCAATAACGAACCCCCTTCCCCTTTTAGGATTTCCCCCTCTTCCTCTCTCTCTCTCTCTCTCTCTCTCTCTCTCTCTCTCTCTCTCTCTCTCTCTCTCTCTCTCTCTCTCTCTCTCTCTCTCTCTCTCTCTCTCTCTCTCTCTCTCTCTCTTTGCTGACTCTTGTAATCACTCGATGGCACCACCCCTCAAATCCCCCTTTTGCACTCCATCTTCTCAATATCGTACGTTTACGCTAGCACATGCACCTTGTCACGCCTCGTAAGGTCTCCGTGACCATTCGACTGCAGATTTCAAGTGAAGCTCTCTTAACCGAGAGCTGCAATGCTTTACGCGTTCAACATTAACACCCCCAATAAATTATTCTGCGTGAATAACTTTTTTTTTACCCTCCTTTACTCAAGGTGAGAAAATTTGACTTTGACCTACATTTACAGGTTACATTCGCCTCTCGACCTATAAATAATGTCCGAAATCTCTTTAGATTTACGGGTCGACCTTAGATTTTAGGTCAATATTAACAAAAAATTGACCTGTAAATATTGACCTAAAAACTAAGGTATGGTATTCTATTTTTTTCTGTTGACGTTGACCTAAAATCTCAGGTCAAATATTTAATTTTCCCTAATAATGTTGACCTAAATTAGGTCTATTTATAGGTCACCTCTCGACTCTAATCTCTTAAGGTTTATAATATATTGTCTTGACCTGTTAATATTGACCTAACATCTATGATAAATTATTATATTTGTTTCTGTTGCTGTTGACCTAAAATCTCAGGTCAAATATTTTTTCTGTCAGTTTTGACCTAAATTATAAAGTGTTCTTTTTACAATTCATTTAGATTGACCCAATTTTAGAGGTTATGTTTATTTAAATTAATAAAATTGACCTAATTTTAAAGGTTATGTGCTCTTCACCTGATAAAATTGACCTCAATACCAAGTTACGTTCATATAACTGTAACGATGGACCTGATTTTAAATTTTCATGTTCGTTTTTCGTAGTATTAATATTGAACTGAATTTAAAAGTATTTCGTTCAGTTACTGTATAGCTAATATTGACCTAAATTTTAA